TTTTCAAACCAAATTTGTTTATGAAATATGATCATGTTTAAGAGGGGGATCAAAAAATTTTAAGTTCCCAACAAAAAACTGGTTTAGGGTAGTTTTTTGGTGAAATTTTTTCTTCCTCTCACAAAACTTCAACTTTTCTTCAAATAAAATACATGTCCAAACATAACTTCAACTTTCAAAATTTATTTTTCAACACAACTTCAAAAACTATTTTTTCAGATTTCTATTAAATTTATGTCCAAATGCTAGCTAAGTGGTCAATAATTAAAAAAACTTGTTTGAGCAGTCACTTCAAGGACATAAGTTAAGTTGCTAGATGTTTTAAAGAACTAAAAATTAATTGAACTAACATGATTCTAATATTCCCAACAAAATTATATGAAATCAGCTAATTCACTATTCAAAATTCGTTCGGCCTTTATTTTTCTTCACTTAAATACCAAATTTTTCATCAAGCAGTGGATTTTAAACTCATGGGTGCGCCTAACTCGTATCCTATATTTCATATCTCTTATATTGTTGTTATTTTATTATGCATTTTTATGGTACTAATATATCGGCTCCTGTTGCTTTTTTTGAGCCGAGGGTCTCCTGGAAACAGTCTTTCTACCCTTCAGGGTAGGGGTAAGGTCTGCGTACATATTACCCTACCCAGACCCCACTTGTGGAATTATACTGGGTCGTCGTTGTTGTTGTTGTTGTGAGTGCGCCTAACTCGAATATTTTACAATACGCTTTTACCACTATACCAAAGGCCATGACTAATTTATGTTTCTTTTGAAATTCCTAGTTATTTATTTTAAAAAGTTTTACCAAAAAAGGTAGGAAAGCATTAGAAAGAAAAAAAAAAACTTTGCTTGGAGTTTAAATAGTTGTGTAAAAAGGAAGCAGAGTGCTAAATAATGGAAAGAACAAATTCCCTTAGGCTAAAGACTCAAAAAGGAAGAATAATTTAAAGGCAATTTTGGACTCAATTCTCTTAGTATATCTCTTTTTTAAGCTTTAATCCAAGCTAACTTTAACAACTTCTTCACCACTTTCTCCAAAAAAAAGATAAATAATAAAAATAATAATAAAGGGAAACGTGTTTTTTTTTNTACAAATTGATAATTTTTCCCCCCTTTTTTACTCTTAGTAATAATTTTTCTTGAATGGAGATAACATATATATAGAATAAGTATTCAATGAATAGAGATTATATCTTAAGACATAAATTAAGGTAGAATAATCTAATTCCCTTTTTAATTAATATTATTTCTTAAGGGGCGTGTAAAAGAGAAACACGACACATAATATGAGACAAATTGAGTATTATAATATCCAAAAATGAATGTTCTCTCTTTGTGGCATTTAATAGTGCAAAATTGCACGAATTTAATGTGGAAATTAAATCCTCCCTTTTTGTGTATAAAGTTAAACTTGTTAATGATGGAAATGTAAAGTCTCAAACAAAAAATGCAACAATAAGAGGGATTTTTAAGTGCAAAGGAAAACAACCATAGTTAGATTTGAGTTTTTGGCAAAAATCATCCTTAAATTATAGCTCAAAGCAAGGGTACATCCTTGTCTTATCCTAGTAAACAAAAATCATCCTTATACTATTTAAAAAGTTGCAAGAATCATCTTTCCGTTAAATAAATAAGACAACACTTGATGGGAATTGAGGAGTAGTAAGGAATGATAAAGAGTGAAATTCAGTCACCCTCTCCGCTTTCTTTTCTTGAGAAGAATGCTCTGGTCTGGCATAAATGCCACTAGGTCATCTATGATTTGCATCTGCAAGAATGAAGGACAGAAGATTGGAAAACTAAAAAGAAAGCCAGGGCGTCCGGTGGATGAAGTCTACCTTTGTAATGTCAGGCTGAAAAAGGGGGGATAGCACTAGAGAGTCGGGAACTTTCACTGCAACTGAAGAGGCTCACACCTTACATCAAACTAACCTATCAACAGAAAGAACCGAGGTTGATTTCTTTGCAATAGGGAATGCNGTCACAAAAACTAACAGCATCATCAAAAGACCATGTCCATCACGTGCCTTTTCTCCTCAATTTTCCAATATTGTCCCTCCTACCCAATCGACTTTTCCAAGAACGTGTTGACCGTCTTCTTTTTCCTTCTTAATTTTTGTTAAGGATGTACCCTTGGTAGTGGGGATGACACTTATATTTAGCCTTATATTTTTTTTCCGTTACAGTGATATCCGGACTAGCTTGTTCACATCTCAATTAATTTATAGAATATTTTCTTCCTTCTACCAGATATCGAGTAACTTTATTCACAAAAATTTGGACATAGTGACGACCCAGGAATTTGAAGGTCGGGAGTGTATTTTTGTATTCAATCAAAATCTACTTTGTATATAGGGTGTCACTACTAATATATCAGTATTTTCTAAAAAACATATACATGGATTCATGAAAATTTTGTCGAACTTTCCGGTTGTCGGTGAACCCTCTCTTAATAACATAGATCTGCCTTTACTTGGACAGATAAAAAGAAATTATCTAGTATTTTTATCTCTACTATTTGAACCTAAAATCCCATAATTATCAACTCATTTCATCCAAAAGCATAAAACAAACTAAAGCTAAAATTAAAATGGAGATAGATATTATCCTCCTAGCTTAGCTCACTGGGATTTTTTTTTCCAAGTGTCCCTAAATAAGTATTAAACTAGAAAATGCCAAAATGTATATGATCATCTCTAAATTAAATAATTTTTTTGGATTAAAATAGTAGTAGTAGATAATAGTACTCGTGGTAGATAATTATATCACATCACGAAATTGAAAGTTTTCCTATTTGGATTATTGAATATTTTACATTGATCACATCAAACGTACTATTGAATCAAGAAATTCAATAGAGTTGGTAATGTTAGTATCACCAAACCCACATTAGTATTTGGTACAATTATGTACACTATTATAATCAAGTTCACAGCAAAAATATTTCAATTAAATATAAATAAAAAGGAGAAATAATCAAATTTGCCTTTTAATATCCGCAGTTGAATAAATTAGGAGTAAATTGTAACGGAGAAAGTAAGTATTTTTTTCTAACTAGTCCAAGAATTAATAAACAAAGTTGCGCGATACTTAGCTAGCGTTTGGACATAAATTTGAGTAAATTTTAAAAACGAATTTTTGAAGTTGTGTTGAAAAATAATTTTTGAAAGTTGAAATTATATTTGGACATGCATTTTATTTGAAGAAAAGTTCAAAATTTTCTGAATGGAAAAAAAAAAATCACCCAAAACTGTCCTAAACTAGTTTGTGGGAACTTGAATTTTTTTTTTAATACAAAATATGATCATATTTCATAAACAAATAATATTTTTAAATTTCTTTTAAAAAAAGAAACCAAAATCTACGGCCACACCTCAACATAGAGTTTTCCTATTAGGCCCTTTAACTAAATCACATCTATACCAATTAGACACTTTGTAGTGACATAATTGAGTGTGTGGGGATCGAAGACGTGTGAACATGAGAAAAAGGTTGTTGATTATTATTATATTCTAATAACTTTGACATGAACCCATCATTTTTTCTCTTAATTTTTTTTAAAAATAAAGTTTAGTGTACATGGATCTGACTATTTTTATTTGGCATGCTTGTTCTCTTTACATGACACTTGTAAGCCACACCAACTTAGACGAGGAATAGAGAGAATAGCGTGATATTTCAGTAAAATCGAAACAAGAAGAAGTGAGATGAAGTTGAACGGAGGAAATTTTCAGCGGGCTTTTTAGGATACTAAGTCGCCAGAGGACGGTCAGGTTTTCCATTTTCTGAAAATGAGTTCAATTTGTTTGGGGGGTTAATTCTATAAGGTCGAAATTTTTAACGTGTTAGAGGCAACTGTAATACACACATTTAATTTTTATAAAACTTTTTCTCAGATGGTCTACAAAGTGTCTAATTGGCACAAATATGATTTTAGTTGAACGTCCTGATAAGAATAACTCTGTGTTTAAGTGTTCAAACGACAAAAAAGACCAAATTTAAGGGTCCAGTTATGTATTTTGCTTACAAAAGATAAAATTGAACAATTTCAAACAATGAGCCAACCAATTCAAATCTTTTTCAAGAGGCGGACCTATCTCATAAAGAAATAGATCAAAAAATTCTCACACACACATATATATATATATATATATATATAGAAAATAGTAATATATAAATAATTACACTTCTTTATACAAAATAAATTTTTGGTTAAATATAAAAGTTCAGGCACGACCTTCAAATTCTGCCTCTATAGAGAGGACACAAAAAAACCAGTACATGAGTGTCTGAGTCATTCCTGGCAAGATGACAAAATTTTGAAAAGTGTCGTCCTTTGTTTCCTCGAGCCAAATGAACTTTTTATATATAAAAAAAAAATACTCAAAAGTAAGAAAATAAAAGGACAATAGTTTTGAATATTCAAAAATCGACACCAAAAGTTGCAGAAAATTATTTTTAGACCAATATTATTTTCTATGGCCTAGAAAAAAGTTCAAACCTTTCTCTATATCCAAGAAATTTCAAGAATGGCCGACGTTTTTTGTCACTGTTCAAAATACAGACTTCAAACCGTCCATAGATGACCTAAAATTCCCTAGCCACTTTTGGCCATTAAACAAATAAAATTCCAATTTAACCTCTTTCAAAAAACTAATTATTTACAAAAATGTTCCCTTTTTTAACAAAAAGAAGGAAATGCTGATACCTACACTATCTTGCCACTTTATAATCAATAAAATCCAAGAAAAAAACATATAAAATTATATAGTTAAAGTTTAAACTACACCCATAAGCAACTTTTAACCAATAGGGAAATAAAACATTTTCTACAAAATGTAAAATGAAAATTACCCATAAATTATAAAGTGGAAATGAAGTTGGCAAAAAGTAAACCTAAATATTTCTTGGAATTAACATAAAAAAATTTATTATTTTAATCTAAACTACTCCTTAAGCAACTTTTAACCACAAGGGAGAGAACAAAGATTATACAAAATGTGAAAATAAGAAAAAACCAATGAAGGTGATCATTCAAAACTACTACCCATATTTTACATTGTGAAGTAAAAGGGTATTTTACAGACCCCCAAATGAGGAACAACAAGAAAAAAAAATTAAAAATTAAAAAAAAGAACTAATATGAGATTAAGTAGAAGGGAAAATGGCAAAAAAACAAACTAAATATTTCTTGAAAATTACCTTCAAAAAATATTTTTTTAGGTCCAAACACTCCAAATCTTTTCTCCAATAAAACTAACAAACTTTCTAACTGAACCTTTTTCACCTCCCTCTTCTCCACCACTTTCATCTTCATCGCCGCCGCTATGGTTGCCGGAAGTTTCCTCCACCGGGTCGGACTCAATTGACCCGGCCGGAACAGACCCGTTTATGTTCAAATTTGACTCAGATGATGTCGTTTTTAGCTCAACAGAACCACTACTAATATTAGAGCCTTTGTTTTTATTTCTTCTTTCTTTTTTGCTTTTTTCTTTTTTGCTTTGTAAACCTTCTTCATAAGCATCAAGAATCTCATGAATAAGTTGACGGTTAGGTGATAAATCCCATTTCACCCAATAACTCATGTAACAGCTAAAACAGTCGCAGTTAAAAGAAGCTGGATGGTCAGCAACGCCGCCAACGCCGCCGCTAACGGCAGCGCCACCTTTTGTTCCACCACCGGAAGATGTTTCAGTAGCTGAGTTGGGTATCTTTAATTTGTGGGTATTTCTCCGATTTCCAGAAAACTCACCGGAAAGTACACGTTCAGCTCCTCCGCCGCCGCCAACGCCGCCGCACACGGCGGAGCTACCACTTTTTGCACCAGAAACTGCGGTTTCAGAAGCCGAGTTGGGTGTTTTCAACTTGTGGGTGTTTCTCCGATTGGTGGAAAAGTCGCCGGAAAGTTTGCCGGAGCCGGTAGAACAAGAAATGAGATAAGCTAAAACTTCTTTATCTTCTTGAGATAAAGCAGCAGCAAGAGTTAAAATAGCAACTGGTAAAAAAGAAAGATGGTCAGAAACCAAAGGAGGAGTTGGATGAACTGTACCTTTTCTATAAAGTTTCTTCATAATTAATGAAAAAATGGAGTTTTTTTTTTTGAGAGAGAGTTTAGAGAGGGTGGGGTAGTTGAGTAGGGTGGGTGGGTGTAAGGAAGATTGAATTGAACTAAAGAGAATGAGGGTTTGTGGGGACTTTGAAGAGTTTATGGTAAGAGAAAAAAGAGCATAGAAATTGATTACATAATTTTATATGACTTAGTAAAAATAAAAGGAAAAGGACATTGGGGGTAGGGTTCATCTGTGGGACAGTGTATTTTACAGAATTTAGGGCATCAATTTCTAAGAATTTTGATTTTTTTTGTTGGATTTTGATTGGTTAATAGTGGGGGCTATTTGATGGACCCTACTTATTACAGAATCTAATGATCAAATTTTCCCTCTTTTTCTCTCACTTTCCGAGAAGAGATGAAGTTAGTAGAACAAATCTAAGAGATAAATTTAGGCAAAAAAAGGTAAAAAAAAATTGGATTTTAGTTGCGATATTAGAGCAATTAATCTTAGCATATATATGTATTAGATAATAGCGTAATTGATTAATTATATAAGAAAAAAATAATTTTTGCATAAGTAATATAATATTTGGTTGAAGATAATTCTTAACAGTTGCGAATACAAAATTTCTGCTAATGGAATTAAAAAAAGAAAAAGTTAAAAAATTACAATAAATTATGGCATATGAGAATTGAACCAACAACCTAATAAAGATTTTAAATCACTAAGATATGTTTTTGGGATATGTCAAAAAGATTCAAAATATAATATATAAAAGTAAAAATTAGATTTTGTCTTCTACGTACAGTGTAATTTTCCGCGCGAAGGAGGTTCAGGTGAATCTCTTTCTGCTCCTATTTCGTAATAACCCTATTAAGTTGTGAAAATTCATATATATATATACGAAATAAAAATATATATTAATAATACAAAGATTAAGCTATTTAAAGATAAAAATACCTTTTAAAAATAAGTAATTCATAAATATCCATTATCTTACTGTTAATCATCACATAATAATTTATTTATTATTCGTTATTACATAATAATTCATGTATTATAATTTTCGTATAAGTGTAAATGTATCTCAAGGAAATAATTAGGGAAAGAATGCGTCTACTCTATGTTTTGATTTGACATGTCTTGCTGTTTTGCTTTATTTATCAATAATCAATTTATACCATTGTTTGTTAAAGGGACAATCGTTCATGAGATTAAGTTTTCGTTTGGCCATAAATTTTGACTTCATATTTTTTAAAAAAAATTAAAAATATTATTTGCTTATGAAATATGATCATATTTTTGGGGGAAAAAATTCAAAAGTTTTCAAGTTCTCAAAACTTGGTTTAGAGCAGTTTTTGAGTGAAAATTTTTCTTCCGTTCAAAAAATTTTAATTTTTCTTCAAGTAAAATATATGTCCAAACACAATTTCAACTTTCAAAAATTATTTTTTAACACAACTTCAAAAACTCTTTTTTCAAGTTTCAATCAAATCTACATCCAAACGTGTAAGGCCCCGTGAAAATTTCTACTCAAAAACCCGAAATCTCGTAATGCCAAGTTAGGACCATTTTTGCGGTCCATTTGCGGGCCGCATGTCCATTATGCGATCACAAAGTGTGTCGATGCTCCTAGTTTCTAACTTTTAAACCCGATCTCATCCTATTAAAAATACCCATTAGACCTCTTTTATGTTATTTTTACTGCAAATAGAGTAAGAGAGGGAGCTCTAGAGGGAGAACTAACTCTCAAACCTTGCCAAATCTTTGAAGACTTTCAAGCAAAATTTGCTAGGTTTTCACCCCAAGAGATTGAAGTTGCTAAGAATTTCAGAATTTTGTAAGAATTTAAGGAAAGCTCTATTGAGGTATGTATGGTTAAACCCCTCTCCTATTAGAAATTGAGCTCCGTTGGTATGTGTATGTGCAAATGTGGTAAGACCGAAAACTTGATTGATGTATTGATTGTCATTTTACATTAATTGGTTTTGAAATTGTATATATACATGAAACTTGTACCTCAATGTGTGCAAAGTACTATTCTAGATATTTAAAGATGTGCAAAGAATATGAACCATGTGTTGAAATTGCCTAAATTTTACGTCAAGAGTTAAAACTGAGATTGTCATGCTAATATGTGAAATCTTATTTATGCTTACAACTTGAATTGCTTTTGTATGTACCCATGATCATAAATTGCAAGGTTGACATTGAAAGTGGAAATGATGTGATAATTGTGGCCCTAAGCGCCAATGAATTGATATGATATATGTGAAATAAAGATTCAAATGAGATGATTAATAAGAAAGGAACAACGCCTAGGTAAGGCGGCCTAGCCGATCGGGCCGTGATTGGACGTCATGCCGCACACATGGTGGTAATGTGCTGATATTGAATTCCGGAAAAGGGAAATAAGATGGTGATTGAGGTATATGTCTCAAATGAGGCAACCTAGCCGATCAGGTCGTGATCGGACTCCGCTCAAGATAGCGGTGGTATTGAGAACAATGATGAACATATGAAATGCCCCAAACTAAAGTTATGGAAATCATGTGAAAGTTGTAAGATTCTTTATTTGATGATGTGGTGTTTGGTTAAAGCTTTGATTGTCTCTTGTAATTCCCTTGAATTCTTGTATGATAGTTCTTTCTAATAAGATGGTGTTTAGGTATACATACTAGTACTATTCCATGGTACTAACGTCCTTTTTGCCGTGGGCGCTACATTTTTAAATGAATGTAGGTGGCTCCATAGCGGATAGTGCCGATCGCACGTAGCGGAGTATCCCCCTCTCAAAGCTTTGGTGAGCCCCTTTCTCCTTCAAGGGGTTATATTGTACATCTTTTGTTATAGATATCTACTTTTAAGGTATAGCCGGGGCCTTGTTGTTGGCGTTGTTATAATTGTCTTTTGTATTCTTAGAGGCTCCGTAGACGTTTGTGTGGGTTATGTATGGGTATTGAATGGGTCTATGAACTATGTTGTAAATCTAAACTCTTGTTTCTCTAGATTGTAATTGTATGAGATCTTGGAAACTTTACTACGGTTTAAGGTTGTGATATAAAATGAACTAAAAATGTTGAATATACAATCTTTCCTATTGTCTAAGTAAACAAAAACATGGTTCCCTTAATCATATTGAGTTGGATAGAAAGTTTTAAAAAGGCTTACTCAGTTGAGATCACTCGATTAAACGCCGGTCGCGCCTTCCGAGATTGGGGCGTGACAAAACGCTAGCTAAATTTCACTGTTCTCTTCTTTTGCAATGACTAATTGAACCTTTCTTACTTTATATCAACTATGTAATAAAGACAATTAAACATTTAAAATAATTTTTACTAAATATTGTACCAAAATAAAAATCCATTATTTTCCTCTCTTCATTTTCTATCAGTCAAATGATCCCAAAGAAATCCCTTTTGCCATTTTAGGAAGAAAAGATTGGACTGATAAAGTAATGGGCTTGGGCCGCTCTTTTTTTAAGTTAATGGGCCTAAGTGGATCATATGAACGTGAAGTAATGATTTTCAGTTTTTCATATTCGGTGCCAAACCCACTATTTCTTCTCATACAATCATATGTCATAATTAGTAATTATGGTAACTATAGTATAATTTTTCAAACTCTAGTTTGACACAGATTTCCTCTACAATTGATGTATTCACCTAACTCATTTTCTAAATCAAGAGCAAAAAGTTTTTGGGCGAAACTAATTTTATTCGCTAGCCGAAAATTATATCAAATATGTATATACTATACCCATATACAAAAAAAATAATACTTTATCCGCTATTATTTTTTAAAACGGTTAAAAATATACGTTTCTCAAAATTTTTAATATTTATATTTGCCAACTCATTGTAATTATCAAGCTCTTAAAATGGAAGAACTCTCTGTATTTACTTGTTATTGTTTTCGTGTCGGCTTTCTGATTGTAGTACCTAGTGTATTTAATTTTGTATTTTTGCTTCGGTTTTCTAATTGATATGCTTGTTGTTGTTGCCCTTCCTTTTACCTATATTAAGCCGAGGGTTTTCCGGAAATAGCATTCGTGCTTGAAAAACGACCTCATCGCTCCTTTTAATGGACATTCTTAGTCGTTTTCCGAGGGTTAACACCCAATAGATGAGATCGTGAACTCTTTCAGACCCTTAGTTTCACTTGGTTGGGGCAAAGTTTCAGCCTGTCTTCCACCGAATATAAAAATGACACCGAATATAAAAACCCTTAGAGCTGCCTAACCTGCTGACATCCCGACAATCTTGAAGGTAGGGGTAAGCTCTGCGTACACACTATCCTTCCCAGACCTTACTTGTGGGATTACACTAGGTTTATTGTTGTTGTTGTCTCTGTAATAAATCCAAAATCCAGACTATAATCCAACAATTTTCTTTCAATTTAACAGTTCAACTACTGGTCCCATATTTCATAACTACAATTGTAAAATGAGTTAAGAAATACAGTAGAAGAATTAATATGTGAATGAGAAGGTATTCCAACTCAACTATAAATATTGTAATATGAAGCAAGCTCATCACACAAACAAGCAAGCAGCAAATAAGCAGCAATTTTTGAACTCAAGAGCTTGATTGTATGAAATGAAAATCGAATATCATGTGGACCTTTAAGAATTGCTTTGAAGACGAGTCTTGATCCACGATTCCAAGTTCTTCAACTCCTCGTTGTTTATCGAATGAGCAAGACCAGGGTAAGCCTAACGAATATGGCAGACAATGGCTTATTGGTGATGCATTCATGAAAGATAAACGAAACGATCTGAGAGACATGAGTAATTACCTTGAATTCGCAAGTCATACCAGCTCGCTCCAGGAAAGGTGGTCCTGCTTGTCCGGCTTCAAACAGTACTGTCCTATCAGCGATACCATGAGACCACAAAATAGGAGTCTGTTCAAAGTGTTTTGGTGTTAGATGCTATAACAACATGGAAACTAATCAAGAAACACATATCAAATGGTAAGAAGGCAGTTATGATGTGTGGATTAGGTGCATGTCGGGAGTTTGGACCCTCTGGTAATTAAGTGGAGAATTGTTGAGGGGCAAACCAAATTATCCACCGAGTTTCGAATTGTGCACCAGCAGGCCCTCGAGAATTTCTCGATTAATTTAATAAAAAAAAAAGGGTTCTCGAGATAACATATCTTCCAATCATCAACAACAACAACACAGTAAAATCTCACTAGTGTGGTCTGGGGAGGATAGTGTGTACGCAGACCTTACCCTTACCCCGAGGGAGTAGAGAGGCTGTTTCCGGAAGACCAATCATCAACATCAACATCATTATTCAAATTACAAATGGCCAAATACTCTTTGACGAACATCTCCATACAGGGCGGAGGCACTATTTTATATATCTAGGTAGAAATGAGGAACAAGTGCTAAATTCGTTCAATGGTGCTGTATCATATTGTCATATATACATCCTAAGTATTGGAACAGTTAGCAGATCGGGGATCATATAATAAAGTCTTATGTAACCGATGCCCTTAGCACAAACTTAAGACTCCCTCCACATAAGAAAGCAACCAACTTTACGACAAGAATAACATTTTCTACTTCAAAACAAAATTTTAGAAAATTATAAGTAGAAGTTAGTATCAGACAATTACCTTTTTAGCTTCAGGAGTTTGTTTCTCTAATATAGAAGAATTAAAGGGGACCCATCCGCTAAATACGGCACCTCCTCCTAGAGTTTTTGGGTACAGAAGAACACTTGCTAATGTTAACGCACCTACAAAATCAAGTATAAGTTGAAAGTTCAGTGTATTTAATAGCAGTACAAAAACTTGCCAGGAAGAGAGAGAGAGATAGAGAGAGACCTCCTTGACTAAATCCACATATGAAAACATTATTAGGATTAGTGCCAGCATCGATCTCTTTATCAATCATTGCATGAACATTCTTAACCGCTTTGAGCAGACCACTCTCATCGTTTGGCGAACTCTGGTACATGGTATTAAACATTAACTTATATGGAAACAATATCAATAAACGTAAGTACAACCATGTCTTTGTTTCTGAAGCCAATGCTCAGACAACATTAACATAAGAATTTTGATGGAGACTATTACTGGCATATATCATACTCACTCCGTTTCAATTTATGTGAACGTATTTCCTTTTTAGTCCGTGCCAAAAAGAATGACCCCTTTCCTTATTTGGAAACAATTTACCTTTACAGAATGATTTATAGCCACACAAAATATATGTGCCTCATTTTACACCATAAGATCAAAAGTCTTCTCTCTTTTCTTAAACTTCGTGCCCAGTCAAATGGGTTCACATAAATTGAAACGGAGGGAGTAGTATTTGATGACATAATGGGGTCCCAGATAAGACCAGTGTTATCAAAGGCGCGCTTAAGCCTGAAGCGAGGCTCAAAACATATTGACCGCTTCGCCTCGCTTAACGGGCGCTTCAGTGTTGTCATCAAGGCTCTAAGGAATACGTTTCCTTGCTAACGAGCGTAATCCGGAAGATGCGACACTAAATAGTTGGTATTTCACTTTATCGTAAATTTTCTTCAATTTCTTTGTTCATATATTTGGTATTCATGCTTATAGATATTAGTCTTGGACTACACATACATATTTGTAATTTTTCTCCATTTGCGCCTTTCTTCATTAAAACCCACGCTTTATTTGCGCTTTGCGCTTAAAGCCCCAACATACCTCAGAGCGTTTTTGCGCTTTTCGCCTTTGATAACACTGGATAAGACATGTTATTGTTGATTTCCTTATTTTCTATAAGTCAAGTGGAAAAAGTTCGCCTTAGATAAAATTCTATCCTATATTTCTCAGTATCATCCTTGCAGATAATGCATAATGGCATGAGTATAAGGAGAATTTGAGAAAAGAAAAAGTGAAAGGAGATACGAGGAATGAAAGGGGTGGAAGAGAAAAACTTACAGCAGTCACTGGTATTTCATGAATGTCAAACCACGATGGCATAACAGCACCATCTACAGTAAAGTAAGACACGAAATAGTTTAAACTGTAGATATAATAAGTATCACCAATATTAGAGTGAAAAAGCTGGCAATGTTACCATAATATTTATTTGAAATGAATGTTACCATAATAATATTTACAAATAACACAATCACTATTCCGTTGGAATTTGTTATATCGCGAGATGATAATAAATGGACAAGGTCAAATATCTAGCAAAAGCAATTTCCAGTGAAGGACTAACAATCATACTGTCACTTTAGTAGGAAAACAATTGGAAGACTACAACATCTTACAGACACGTTAGTGTATCAACCCTGCTCAAACATTATTGTCCTTAATGGAGAATCTACATATTCTCTCATGGAAATGAAAGCTCCGGTAGAAAACCAAGCAAGACTGGCATCATAGTATTTCAGCAAACAAGATGGCGTTAAAAATCTAGTGTTCTTCTTACAAACTTCCTTTGTACCATTTTCAGATACAATAATATGATACATCATAAAGTTTATGGAGAATGCTCTTTGACGTTGTTGGCCAATTGCACCTAAATCACCGCCAAGCTAATCTTATCATTAAGAAGCTGTTTTTCACATCCTGAAATGTAATTATGCACTAATCAGGCTGAAACTAGCCTGAGTTGCTTCATTATCTTCCAATATGTCCAGAATGAGATGCAAGATTATCTACGCTAGTAGTTAGACACATCCTTCAGGGAGAAAATTGCTTATATTTATCAATTTGCCTTTGTTGTTGACTAACTGTCATTATACAGAAGGCTATTCCAAGCAGTATTTCGCAAGTCTTGAGTGTTCATCTTAGTCATCTAAGAGCTAAAGCTGCTCATCTTTGCCTATAATGGCAAGCATTAACTATCAAAAAGAAAAGTCAAAACAACCAAAAATAAAGGAACTTGATAAAGCTTCTATTTAAGATGGTTCATTAACAAAGAGGAACTACACTACAACGGTTAAATCCCTACCCAGAGGGCTAACTTTCCCTCTACGCTACCAATTCTCCTCCTTTCTACTGAATTGAATGAAAAACCATAGGAAAAGGAAAGAACTAACGTATGTTTCCTAGAAATTCATTGGGTTGGTTTCTCAGAACTTCTCCATTAACACATTGTTAGAGGAACAACAAAACTACATGTTTTGCTATGTTACACTTTACTATTCAATTTTTTTTCTTTCTTTTTAATTTTTGAATCACAACTACTGACATAATACTGAAGCAGAAACTGCATCCCTAAATTGAAATTACTCTAGTCTAGACAATTTCTCTCATCTCCTCGAACTGCAAATTATCTTATAAGGACCAGACATATATCCATTCACACCTTGAAAATGAGCTGAATTTTGATTAACCAGCCGATGAAAGTGGACCTAGTCTACATTGCAAGTAATCCCATCCGCTAGACCCAAAAGGCAATCACAATAAGAACAACAACTATGCCTCAATCTGTTTGGACCTGAACGATTCCATTTTTTTTTTTACCAAAACAAAGACTCGTGTTATAAAGACTATCATATCAATAGTGACCATACATGATACAGGTGATTTGCCAACTACAAACCCCATCAAGCGGTAGGTCAAAACCTAAATATCTATCCAATTCGCTTATACCATTTGACCATAGAACGACAATTCCACCAGAACCAATAGAAACAGTTACAACACAACACTACCAAATCAAAGACATAGTGCAATACAGATCATAATTAATAAACTGTGACAAGAGTGCTCTCACTGTGTGTCNTAGTGAACAGTGATCTAAATGACAATATCTTTATCTACTACACTGATCACGGTGGTCCTGGCCTTATTGGTTCGTCTAATGCAATGTTGATTATTATACTTTAGTTTCACCTTAATTACCATTATATATTTCTTAAGAATACTGATTATAATATAAATATCTATATATTTTCATTCTCTTGTTATATTCCTAGGTATGCCTGATGGAGATTTTATCTATGCCAACGATCTGAACAACGTCATTTGACCCAAAAATTAAATCTTTATTCGATTTCAGTATATAATTTGACCCAAAAGTGCCATTTCCATTGTCAAGATATAGAAGAATAGAAACAAATACAACACATAACAATACCATACCACAGGGTATGCCAAAAATGGAATCTTTATGCAATCCCAATACACCATTTGACCCAAAAATGCCAATTCCACAGTGAACACATAGAACCAATAGAAACAAATACAATACACAACCAATAACAAACCCCACTAAGGAGTAAGCTAAAAATGGAATCTTTATGCAATCCAAATACAACATTTGACCCAAAATTGCAAATTTCACAGTGATCACACAGAACAGAACCAATAGAAACAAATGCAATACACTACCAATAACACCATACAAACCCCATCAAAGAGTAGGCCAAAAATGGAATGTTTAGGCAATCCGAATGCACCATTTAACCCAAAAATACCATTTCCATGGTGATCACAGCAAAACCAAAAGAAAGAAAAACAATACAAAACCAGTAATACCATACAAAACCCACTACAGGGTAAGCCAAAAATGGAATCTTTATGCAATTCATACCATTTGACTCAAAAATGCCAATTTCACAGTGATCATACAGAATACAAACAAAAACAATCACAAACCCCACCACGGAGTAGACTAAAAACTGAATCTTTATGCAATTCTAATATACCATTTGACCCAAAAATGCCAATTTCACAGTGACCATACAAAATACAAACAAAAACAATACACAACCAATAACAAACCCCACCAAGGAGTAGGCTAAAAACTGAATCTTTATGCAATCAAAATACACCATTTGACCCAAAAATGCCAATTTCACAGTGATCACATCATAACCAAAAGAAACAAAAACAATACAAAACCAGTAATACCATACAAACCCCACTACAGGGTGAGCCAAAAATGGAATCTTTATGCAATTGTAATACTACCATTTGACCCAAAAATGCCAATTTCACAGTGATCATACAGAATACAAACACAAACAATCACAAACCCCACCACGGAGTAGGCTAAAATGGAATCTTTATGCAATTCTAATATACCATTTGACCCAAAAATGCCAATTTCGCAGTGATCATACAGAATACAAACAAAAACAATACACAACCAATAACAAACCCCACCAAGGAGTAGGCTAAAAATTGAATCTTTATGCAATCAAAATACAGCATTTGACCCAAAAACACCAATTCCACAGTGATCACACCATAACCAAATCCAAAAGAAACAACAACAACCCACTATTACAAGTACAAGCAAAATTATAACTTACGGTTGCAGGTAACTGGGTTAGAAGGAGCAGAAGGGAAAGACCATTTTGTGTTCTTGAATTGAGGAGAAGTGAACAATGTCTTTATTGGTTCATTAGCTGGGCCAGAATCACCCAACCCATGTAGCCAAACAATAAAACTTCTAGAAGCCATGGGATTGGATTTAGTGGAAGATGGGTTTGTTGTTGTTGGCTGAGAGAGTAGCACAACGAAAATGGTGAAACCAAAGGTGATTACAAGGACTAGCAAGGGTTTTAGTAATGGAAAAATGAATTTCATCTTTGGTCTTCCATATTATTTGGTTAGTCTTGTGCTTTTTTAGTCCTCGAGTTTGGTGGAGAATTTAATTTTTCTCCTTGCTTTAATAGCAGTAACCATTCTTTTATTCTAGAAAATTAAACAAAGTGTATTAATACTTTCGTCCCGATTTATGTGGCATCAATTCTACTTTTTGAGAGTTAATATTTTTAATGTTAAATATGATTTCAAATATAAAATTTATGATTTTTTAAAATAAAATTTATATAATTAAGAAGTATATAAAAAATATTATAAGACATAATAATTAATAATTTAAAAGACATATGAAAAATCACGTTCAAAGAATAAGTCATTTGACTTTGAATATTAAAAGTGCCCATAAATTAGGACACATAGAGTAATTTTAAAGAAAAGAATTTTTTTTCCCCATGAAAGAATAGAATTAGAGTAGAGAAAGATTTATTAAGTCATACTCAATATTTATCCTAAAACATCTAAATTAACAAGTCCAAATTTTAATATTTATTGTCCATGATTCAGTGACATACATTGACCACAGAATAGTGAATCATATAAAATAAAAATAAAAAAAGGCAGTCTGGTACACTAAATTCCGTTTATACTGTAAGCACTATTTATCTGCATTTCTATAAGATGTTACTTTTACGGTTCGAACTCGTGACCTTCTAGTCATATGACGGCAGTAACTTTCTAGTTACGCCAAGACTCCCTTCAAAATAATGAATCATATAAACACATGAAAAAAAAATATCACTCAATACATATGAATATTCATTCATTTATGAGCCATGAGATACATGAGCATCTAAGCTAGCGTTTGGCCATAAATTCCCAAATTTATTTTGAAAATCTGATCTGGGTGAAGTTTGGTTTGAAGATGAAAATATGTTTGGACATAAGTTTTCAAAATATATTTCACTTTTTTTAAAAAAAAAAAATATGAAACATGACTTATACACACAAGTTCTAAAAACTATCACAAATACCCAACAATACCTTTATCAACAACATTTATTATATTATCGCAAATCATAGTCCTGAACATAAATAAATTTGGAACAAAATTATCATTTTTATGATGAACTACATAATACACTATCAGATGACCGATAAGACAAAGTAGCAATGTTACAAAATAATAAATGGTGGGCTCTTTTATAAAATACAAAAGTTTGAGATAATTTTTAAAAAATGTAATAGTGATATTTTGGGCCAAAATAAGCTCTTGAGCTGGGATTTAGGTTTTGGGTTTTGGTTTCTGGGAATTTGTCAAAATATTGATAAAATCAATGGCCAAACATGTATTTGTCAAAAAAACTTTAAATATATTTTGACAAAATCTATGATCAAACGGGTCCTAAAATTATTTAATTTGCAATATTTCCTTCAGAAACTCTCCAATCAAAATATTTTTCTGCATTTGCCATTGAATATAAAGTGGCCACCAAAAGTTATAGCCAAACAGGCAAGCACGTTATAGCAATACATTTCCAAATATTCCAACCAAAAACCCTATAATTAATTATGACTATCCTATAGTATAGATCCACCAAACAACACTACAATACTTTGGCCGATACATTAATTCACTACCCCATTAGAAGAAAAAAAAATATTTAAGTTATATACACTAATAATATTAGTTTATACAATTTAAATTGTTATAATAAATTATTATTTTATCCTTTAAGGTATGACATCAAATTTAATAAGAAAACTTACATGTTATAAGTAGTCTATATTGCTCGGATTCTTCGATAATATTATTAGATACGTGTTAGATCTCAAAAAATAGGACAATACATTTTTTGAAATATTCGATACGTATGTGACAACATTTTGAAAAGTTCATCCAATATTGTCAAAGTAACACAATGATATATAAATTTCTTACACATAATATAACAAAAAACAAAAAGAAGGTGGGACTATCTCAAACCATTTAATATTAATAGTGTCCTTAATGTTAATGTCAAACTATATTCTAGGAATTTATTAAATTAATGAATTGACAATTCTTTTGGTGTGAAATTCAAAAATAGCCAGATTTATAAGTGGTCATTCAAAAATAGCCACAATTTTAAAAGTAATCGAAATTTAGTTACTTTTCATGTAAAGATAAATATGAACAAAAATACTGTTCAAAATACGGAAAAATACTCCAGTCTAATATACTAGAGTTTCAATATAATATACCGATCCAGCATAATATACTGGAGTTTGGAGCACCTGTGCTCCAGTCTCCAATATATTATACTGGAGCCAGCAAAGTATACTGGTCCAGGATAATATGTTGGAAGTTCATACACAGGTGCACTGAACTCCAGTATATTATGCTGGACCGATCTCGGTTGCAGCAAAATAGTGATTATTTTTCATTGACTTGATAAATGTTGGCTATTTTTTAACGATCAGTCCGAAAACTGGTTAGATGATGCTATTTTAACATTCTTTTGATAACCAAAAAAAGTCAATAAAACACTACAGTAATAATAATCCGACAGATATTATTATACAGAGAATAGTCAGAAGCAGCATCTCTCCCTTTTATGGCGACTTCAAAATTCCAGGCTCTATGGAATCACCCTGCTGGTCCAAAGACCAGTGAGTTTTTCTTTCCTTTTCTAGGTTTTTTTTTTTTTTTTTTTTTTTTTTTTTTTTTTTTTTTTTTTTTTGCATTTCTTGAATTTTATAACTTTGCTTAGATTTAGATCTTTCTTTTTTACCGATTTGATATGCAAATTTATCATCGCATCTTGAAACTGATTGAGTTAATGATTCTTCTGGAAAATCCCATATTGCATCTGGGTGTGTCTTACTTTGATTTTTTATTTTAAATTTTTTTTGGCTGTCTGCCTATTTATTTATTTGAAGAGGGGAACAAAAATGACAAGAAAAGATTTTTTTTTTTAAAAGATTTTTAGGTTTTATATTGTACTGTCGTTAGATTATACTTAACAGAAGTAGAAATTGCGATACTAAAAAGTGGGAAAAGAAAAGGAAAAATAGACAGCTGAAAACGGAAATAATGAAAATTAGGTCATTTCAGTTTTATATTATATGTTTAGTATTGGAATGAAATGAGCCCGAGTACAGCGAAATTTTTGTGAAAGATTCATAATTTACCTCAACTAGTTTAAGATTGAGGTATAGTTGTTTGATTGATGGATAACGTAATGCATTTGTTGCTGCAAATTAGAATGAAGGAATTAATACATAATGTGAAGTATGTTTCATTCACAGTAGGTGCAGGGAGATATACTCCACTGTTATGTAACCTTTCGATTAAAAAAAAAAGGTCTTGGCTAGTCTGTTTGGCTTGGTCAACAACAACAAACCCAATGTAATCCCACTAGTGGGGTCTGGGGAGGGTAGAATATACGCAGACTTTATCCTGAAGAAGGTAGCCTCAGGCTGTTTCCAGAAGACCCTCGGCTTAAGAAAGATAGAGAGGAAGGAGTCTGGTTGGCTTGGTCATTGCAAAAATTCTCGGGCAGTTAGATAGCAATTATGCTTACAAGTAGAAACGAGACAGTAAAGAAAACCGATGTTATGCTTATTTAACAAGAGAGAAAGAGAGAGGGAAAAGAACCTTGGTTATCTTTTGATAAGAACCTGAGAAATTGATGCTTTTGAAAGGCTGTTTCTCCTGAAGAAAGGAAAGCATTCGGAGGAAAAAATGAAGAAGATTGCTCCTAGAGCTATTCTCACACTCTACTTCTGTAGATAACATAGACAATGTCTAACCGTACTCTTTTCTTTACTCGTATATCTTCTCGAGTCTCGCAAGCTTGGACTAGTACAGCTGTGGCTCTCTTTTTTTTTTTTTTTTTTTTTTTTTTTTTGGTTAAATCAATAGTCATTTGTAGCTTATGTTAGAAAAGAAAGTAAGCTGGGATTTTCATCAAGAATCAGAAAGAAAATAAGCTGATATCTGTGATGTCTGTATGATCAGAGAATGCACTTGAAAAAAGTAGGAAAACATTTTCTTTAAAAACTATGGACTGCGGACATGTAAAATTAAATGTCTATGCATTCTTAAGAAGTGCAGCTGCCCAAGCGCCCTAGCCACTCTTGAAACGTTTCGTTTGTCGTTAATCGACTTATGCATAGGTTGACGAATTCTTTCTTCAAAATTTTCTGACTCTACAATGTATGGATGTTTTCCTATGATGGATGGACGTTGGAAATCATTTAAATGCTTGGCTCAAGTTGTTCAAATTTTGTTCCTTGAGCTTTCTCTACTGCCATGCAAATTGCAAAGTGTGTACAGACTTACTTTTTTCCTTGTTTATATATAGCAGCTGAAGTTGGTATGCTTGTGTTTTTCAATTTTCTTTGTTTGCCGATTCATTCACTCGTTGTGCTCTTCTAGTTCATTTCTGGGCACCAACCTTCAAGTGGGGCATCAGTATAGCAAATATCGCTGACTTTGCTAAGCCTCCTGAAAAGATTTCATTACCCCAGCAAATAGGTTTGTCTCATGTCTTTTATTATTTTCTCCTTCTCCCAATCATTTGTATTTTTTACTGTGATTAGCTCCGGATATTCCCTCTTTCTCTTTGTCTCTTGATCTATCATGAATCCAGATGTCAATATGCATAATTGGTCTTTCTCGTCAAACTTAAACTTTTCATTATATGCTATATTCCATTAGTTAGATAGGTTAGGCTTTTGTGTTTCTGTTTGGTTTTATTTATAAGAAAAGCTGTTTTGGTTATTGCAGCTGTTACAGCTACTGGACTTATCTGGTCTCGCTATAGTTTGGTAATTACTCCGGTAAGTTCAATATTACTCTGGATGTTAGAGTATGATGGACAGACAAATAAATCCTTTCTATTTCTTCAGCTGAATTTTCTATAACGGTTTTAGTACATAATTGTAGACTAAAGTATATCCTTTTCACATTCATTGCAAGTTCTTACATTGTTAAAATCCATTATCACCAGACCTAACACTTTACTCTAGGGCTTTACCTTACAAAGGAGAATAAATAAATAGTCAAACTCATGATAGGCGAGAAATTACACGCACATGGTTTAGCGGTTTGCTGTGCTCTGTGATCTTATTCTTCTCCAAGACCCGATGCTTCATCTGCTTCTTTAGTTTAGTAGGACTTCTTTCACGCAATCAATTGTAGGGTATCATCACTAATTACGTCATAGAAATGTAAGTTACACTATTTAACTGGTTGCTATAGCATAGTTCCATGGCATTGTCCTTTGCCAGATTTATCTTTTCAATAGCATTCCCTGTTAACAACAACAACAACAACAACAACAACAACAACAACAAACCCAGTGAAATCTCACGAGTGGGGTATGGGGAGGGTAATGTGTATGCAGACCTTACCTCAACCTTATGAAGGTGGAGAGGCTATTTCCAACATACGCTTGGCTCAAAAACAGTTAAAGGAAGCAACAACCCTAATAGCATTCCATGTTAGTATTATTTGGATTTAGGACATATAGCCGTTTGAAGAGCGGCATTAAAGTTTTAAGAATGTTAAAGCCACTTTGATGCAATTTTTCCTTTAACTTGGACATCTTTTTCTTTCATTAGCTTCTTGATTTTCTGATGTCGTCCTCTCTTTATCTTGTGATCGATAATTCTAAATTGCAGAAAAACTGGAACCTCTTCAGTGTAAATGTGGCAATGGCTGGAACAGGCATATATCAACTTTCGCGAAAAGTTCGGTGAGTCATTCTGTCTCATTACTATATGAAGATCATTAAAAGACTTTGCAAATGTTCATGAAAGGCAGAGGTGGATCTACAGTCTAAAAAATGGTTCACGTGAACCCGTGGTCCTCGGGCTAAAGTATAAATATGATGTACATAATTTGGCAAAATATATATATATATATATATATATATATATATATTTGATGGAACCCATGGTCAAAATAGATGAAGTGGTGAACTGGTTTTAGTCTCTTATTTCCAATAGCCTTAAGGTCAGGGGGATCGAATCCCCTACCAATCTTTTTGTTTAATTTTTTTTTTTTAAAGTAATGGTGAACCCATCCTCCGGAAATCCTAGATCCGCCTCTGATGAAAGGGAATCCGATGATATTATATCGAAAATTTCTATAGCTTTGGTTTTTCGTTTGATTAGCTTCTTTTTGTAGATAATTTGTAGATAACATCATCATTTTTCGGTGAAGCTATAACTAACTTTTCGCTTGTCTCGGTTCAGGCATGATTATTTTAACGAGGAGGAGCAACCTGTGGTAGCTAAAGAAGGATGATGAAATTGTTATTAGTCAGGATTATTGAATTCCTGAGCTTTGAATACAATTTGATGTTTAGTCCTTTTTCTCTATACTTGCTTCTGATATACTTACCACTGTTCATGTGGTGATTTGATAAGTGATTGGGTGCATAATCACAGTTGATAATCTGAAATTTCTTTGTAGATTATGGGAAGAAAGAATGGCATCATGTTTTTAGACTTCTGTTTTTAGTAAGTAGAAGGGGGAGCCTTGACGTAACCGGTAAAGTTGTTGTCATGTGATCAGGAGTTCATAGGTTCAATCCGTGGAAATAGCCTTTTGCAGAAATGCAGGGTAAGGCTGTGTACAATAGACCCTTGTGGTCCGGCCCTTCCTCGAACCCCGCTCATATCTGGAGCTTAGTGCACCAGGGTGCCCTTTTGTTTTTAGTAAGTAGAGAAAGCAAGAGATAGAAAAGTTAGTTTATGAAATGAAAAAATAACTAACTTTTTGCTTGTCTCGGACAATGTCAATCAATCAACTCTTCAGTGTCAAACTACTTGAGCTTGAGTATATAAATCTTTTACATATTCATTCTGGACGAGCAATGCTGCATATATTGGAGGTAGAAAGCCCACGGGCCGTGAACTACTTTTTCTAGAGAAGAAGCGATGACGGTATCTGAGAAATAAGCATCGGACTATTCATTTGAATACTAAATAATTTATCTTAGGACAAACTAAGAGTTCTTTAAAACTTATGTCTTTAAACCTCTCACTTAGGCATACATTGAAGCACTATTCTATGCCAAAAATAAAGTGGGAGGAGAACCATGAAGTCTTAGGGTCAAAACTTAGTGGAGGCATACGCTAGGTGATTTCTTTTTATCTGCATAAGTCGAAGTGCGCGTAATCCTTTGGAAACCAAAGGAGCTATTGAACGAAAGGGATGCAGTCTCTCCCTTATCTTTTGGAGAGGAGAGGACAGAGAAGAAAACGTCCTTTCACGCAAGTTTTTGTTGCTTCCTGTGTCCTTACTCCTTACTAGTCAACAAGGAGTCTTCGACTAAGAAGGCATTTTGGTAAGTCGATATCCATCCAAAAGGGAAGCAAGCTACCTTTCTTTGATTCTCTTTCTGGGCAGGGAAGAGAATGAAAATGGACCACAAATGGTATAGTGGGTGATTCGAGAATCGTATGTGACGAGGCGAAATCTTGTTCAATAAAAAAATACTATGTTATACCAATTAAAAGGACTCTTGGCAAAACATGAACCTTTACAATAGTGTAACAACAATAAATCTTAATCGCAATTAATTGACATCTCCAGTTGGTCTTTTGATTATATTATGTTCATTCTTAACTAATTTGCGTTGAATGGTGATCTTCATTCCTTAATCATGATGTGTCGAACCCTTTGGTTAATATTCTATGGTCAAAATCTCATGATTTTCTTCTATTCAAAAAATGTAAAGCTCAAGTTCTTTGATAAGATTTTGTAAAGCTCAAGTTATATTTACAAGAAGTGTTTACTCCACAACGTCATTATCCACAAAACTACTAGTTTAAGCTGTCTAATTATGGTCCCTTTGCTTTTATGCTAACTTATTTCACTACATTTGAGCTTACATGCAGTGGCGAAACCAGAAATATTTCCAAGGGTGTTCAGACTTGAAAGAACTAAAAAAAAATTCCGACAAAGAGTGTTCAATATATATTTTACACATCTAAAATTAATGTTTTACTTATATACACAGTGTAATTTTTCGAAATATGGTGTATACTACTTTCTCCGGTCCACTTTAATTGATTTTTTTGGTTATTTTCACACATATTAAGAAATCCGTCTTTTAGCATTAATTAATAATAAAATTGATCTTATTAACCTTAATTTGTTCATTGGAAATATAACAAATATTCCTAGGCTCTTTACTTTAAAGACAACTTTGAAAAAAAGAAATTAATTCCTTCTTGATATCTGAAAAAATCGAATATTATGGACCACAAAAAAAGGGCCAAAAAATCAATTAAAATAGACCCGAGGGAGTATATTTCACCAAATTCGAAAAGTAGCTCTTAATGGATATATAGGATAGGAAATGAAGCAGCGCTGATCCTCAATTCTTTTCTGCCTTCCCAAGAGCAAGGATAATCTCACACTTGGGGAAATGGCAATTGAAATAACAAAAATATATGATTGAGAAGAAACTGCAAAGTGTTGGTCATTTATAAGTACATCCTATTTTACTTTTTCATTTTATTTGAGAAATCCTCGAGATCCAGCTTGCGATCTACGGGTTCACGTGAACCTAGTAGCTTTTGTCCAAATAATATAAATGTGTTCCAAAAAATCAATAAATATTTATAAATGTTTAAATATGAACCAAGTTACTATTGAAAATTTACTCGAGATCGTTGCAGGAACCCATAAACATTAAATCTTGGATCCGCCTGAGCAAGCACACAGTTCGAAACACGGTGGATAATGAGCACATCTCTCAACCTTTTCCACTTAAAAGAGGGAATGTTTGCTTTATCCATCCAACTTATTTCTTATAACAAAAGATTAAAGCAACAGCTTTGCAAGTGGAATATAAGAAATCAAACAATTTCTTCAATGTGATGCACGTTAAATTTCATTCAAAGAAGTTCAATGTCATAGAGTTTTACTACATTGCCGGAGAAAAAAATTGTGAACTCAGTCAACAGGGAAAAAACTTTCTACTTAGTATATTCTAGTACAATGGTTTTACATTACAATTACCTCAAGGCCATTGTCAACAGTGAGGACCAAATTCAGTTAAGACGTCCAACGGATACGAGCAGCATTTACAGAAAAGATATCATGACCCAGTGCTACTGGAGTTCAATCTGTCAAATTAAACCTCTTTTGTTTGATCCCTTTTCGAGTCAGAGTCATTTTCGTCGTGACCTGTCAAGCCTAAAGACAAGTCCAAAGTGCTTTCATTTAAATCTTGTCTTTCTGGAGGTTTATCCTGTGTATCCTGATGCATTAAAGCACAATTAAAAAACACTAATGGGCATTATACTCACAAAGTTAAAGAACATGACACCAGGAAGAACAGAACAAACCAAAGAAATACAAAGAAAAGATGAAACTGTTTGGTTGATAAAAGAATTTTTATTGTTCTCTTTGAAGATGAAAGAGGCGAAAGGGGAAACCTTGTTTGTTTGCTTAAAAAAGAAGACAACTTCTAAAGAAAATTTTAAACAACTTTTCTAAAACAATCTGAAATCATATAAAAACTTGAGAACGCAAAAAGGCTACAACATGCTGGAAGAATGGAGATAGGAAATTGTTTCACGAATCGAACAGACCCTGTGTTACACAAACACACAAATGTGAAGCTGTATGAAGTCCACTGCTCGATTCAAAGTTGGGAAAACAAATAGCGATGAAAGACTAAATCATTATTTCATGCCTTCCCCAAATCACATTTAAAAGTTTCATACTAGTCATTTTGTATAACGAGTTGAGAACACAACAAACTAATAAACATGTTACAACAGTCAGTTATGTGCCTTATCTTTTTTCCTTTAGCATTTTTCCCTATCACAGTTCTTCATGTTGGGAGAGGGGAAGGTTTTAAAGTACCTGATTTTCTTCCATCGGCAAATCGTTGATGTCAGGTTTTTCATCAGAACCATCAGCTTGAGATGTTGGCTCCCCGGTATTGGCATCAGCCTCCATAGGTTTAGCTTCATCCTCATCTTGTTCTGACGTCTCATACTTTTGATCTTCAAGCACAGCAATCTATCTCAACCATTTTGACAATGAAATTTATTATCACTTCTTTTTTTGCTAGGGATTAATGAAGAAGATGCAGTCAGACATAAATATTATTATCACTTAGCGAAAACCAAAGCTATTGCCTTACTGACGTACCAGAAGCAACCCCCGATGAGGGAAAAAATTAAAAAATAAATATTTAGGCATTCCGCAGATTACTCAAGTACAACAACAAGACCACTATGCCAATGGTATTAGGTGTGGTAAGTGACAAGCGTAGTATCTATTCTTATCAATGATGAGTGACGATTACTAACATGGGGAAGGATAAATATTCTAATTCCCAATGGAAAGAAAGATCAAGTAAGCTCTTCGACCAGAAAATTGACAAGCCCTATGCTCTTAATTAGCAGCTCTGACTTAATTTGGCATTGCCTCCTTACATCCACCAGGCATAAGATGAGGTTTATAATCACTGGAGGAATATACTGTTGAAACCAAATTAACGTTTTCATCTCAATTGCATAATTGGCCACAAAAATCTCAGCATATCTTTAGAGGTACTAAAATACGGGACCAGTAGATAACACCTAGATGGTGCATAATATAATAGCTTCTCCTAGCTGCTAAAGGAAATTCTACAAGTTAATCATCTCTCCGGGTTTCAAACAACCAACAAAAAGCACATAAGAGTCAATACTAACAAAGCAGGAACAGTAATTAAAGGTATCAAGCTCTGTACACACACTCGGTCTCTCTCTCTCTCTCTCTCTCTCTCTCTCTCTCTCTCTGCTAATAGACTCACTATAACCAGAACATATTTCTGAAAGCTTATGCTAGCTTCCCTCTCCTCTCTCATGCATATAGGTAGTCTCCACACTGACATGAAAAACCACCAAGCAACATGAGAACAACATATGGGGGTCTAAGAATACTTCTACTGCTTCTGCCATATTTGATGAACAAGAGGTAAATGGGCAACTGAGAGACGGACAAAGAGAAAGATTTAGTCTTGCATCCTTGATTTAAAATTAGATGAGAGACAGGAAAGAAATTGCTTCCAGTGGAGATGAAAAGATGGCTTAAAAGTTCCGTCAAGTGTCAACAAGAACTTACTTCTTTATCTGGTAGGTAGGTATGACTATTCAAAAATCTTTTAGCGATCAACGAGACATATATCCAATGCCAGAACCAATTTCTAGATCAAAAACTTGCAGCCTAAGAAGTACAATGGTTCTGTAGTTCTTACACCTCAGCAGAGTTGGAAATTTTTACATTTTCTTTTATCACTGAAAGATCCACATCTTGACAACCTAAATAACTTGTAATTTCCTAAATCTCACAATTTAAAACCCACGATATTCGCTTTGGTGTTTAATTAAAAGCAATATATAACAGCCCCACAGCTATGCCATTTGATGTCAGATCTACACAAAACATAAGGCAGATCCATAAACCTTACTCTCCAACAATTAAACCAATTTCTCCACTTCTTTCCAAAATTCCAACCAGTAATACATTATCTATACATTTTTCTCAAATCCCTACCTCAATACGGTTTTAAAATATATATATATACTAACAATGTTACTCCATTATATTTTAATTGGTTGTAGCAGGCCACTTACCTTGCTCTCAAGTAACTAGATAGCGTAAAAACACTCTCAATGTATAAAACTTAAACCTGTTCTAACAAATCCAATACCCAAATAGCTGTCCCACACCAAATCAATTCCCCGTAATCTGATTTCCCAAATTCCACAGCATGAAAAAAACAAAAACAAAAATAAGAAATAGTAAAGCAAACTCCACAGACTGTTGAAATAGCTCAACATTGTGCGCAAGCGTATGGTTCCAATGCACGAGATCTTATAGTACTTACTAGTGAGTTCCTATCAATTAGTATTACACATAAGAAATGAATTATAGACACTAATACAATTAGATCGGGGAAATACTCAAATGATCTAAGCAATCAAATTCAGTAATTAAAAGAAACTAATAAAACCTTGAAAGATCATAAATTTATAGGACCTAAGATGATTTTTTTTTCATCTGTCTATTCCTTGGAGGATATTTACCGGATACTTGTGCTGGTGGGAGCTAGTAGAAATAGTTGAGATGCGGGCAAGCTGGTCCGGCACTACGTCATAAAAAAAATACTATATAGGGAAATACATACGGTTGATCTCTAAAAAGCACTCAAACTAGGTAACTAAAAAAATAAAAACTTAAAAGATTATTAATTTATTACCGGAATAAACTTAAATTTTCGCTTGCGTGGTTCCTCGATCGGAACGACTTCGTCTTTGTTAGGATCGCCATCCTTTTCATCGCTACTGTTATTTTGGCTGGCAGTAATAGGTCTCCACTTCAGAAGCAAGAGATGAGAGCCGCTACTTCCGTTAACTCCGCCGTTAGCAGCTGCCGTCGTCGTTTGATGATTGTTTTTGTTTGAGCTAACATGGATCCACTTCTTCTTCCATCTACGAACCGGACCGGTAAATACAGTTGTTGGACCGTATCTAGTTGATGACCGGCCGAATCTAGCTCCTACTCCTTCCATTTACGGTGGCGGATCAGTCGTGACTCACGGCGATGTATTCTTTTCCGATACGGAATTTTGTTTATTTGTTTTATTTTATTTTTTTGATCTTCGGGTATTTATAGTTTCGCTTTCTGAGAGACGTTTCATGGTTTTAGTAGACTATGGGAATTATCAAGTGTGAGAAGGTATACGATAAGGAATTTAGAAGCGATCTGAACCGTTAAACTGATAATTAGTCATTTGGTAAATATTTTTCTTTTATATTTGTATTTTACCCTTTCTTCTTATATTTGCATTTTTTTTGTTGCTTTTACATATTTTTTTTCTTTTTTTCTTTTTATTGATGAAATCACCTATGTTTATATTCTAGTGATCACCTATGTGTAGGAGTGTCAATGGATATTCGAAAACCGATTAAACCGACCGAATCGTACCGCACCGAACCGATTTTTAGGTTTCTTTTTAAGAAACCGTAGGTTTTTATATAAATTTATAACCACACCGATAATTAGGGTAGGTTTTTTATTTTATAAAAATAAACCGAAAAAATATCGAACCGTACCGAATAAATTTTACATGAAGAAAATATATTTATTTAGTAAGTTTAAAAATAATAATGCATTGAATTTTTTTTTAGTCTTGGAATTATGAAAACTATTACAAGCCAACAAGTAATTAAACTCAAAATACTAATTCCTAAAACCTATTATGCTACTTCTACTTAAACTAATTTATTTCACGTACCTTTATTAGCAAGACACAAAGTATTCTAGCGACTATGAGTAGCAAACTACAATGTATTGAATATGTTTCCTTTCATACAATTTAAATTTATCTTTTTGAATATTTAATCTTCTATAGACTTTATTCTTGAGTCCCAACTTGGTATATCTTTCAACTCGTGTGATTAATATTTTTTTTGCCTTTGTTTGATTTTTTTTACGGTGTTGTAGAATAGTTGATGAATTTATACTCTAGCCATCTTTTTTTTAATTCATCACCTCTTAAACAGTAAAATGTCTAGAGAGTTTTGCTAAGTCAGATAAAAGAACGTATGTTATTGCATTTCTACTTCTATTGGTGAATTTTACATGATATTAAAAAAATACCGAAAATTAACCGAATCGTACCGATACCGAAGAGAAACCGACATGATTGGGCGGTTTCGAAAGTCTAATTTTGGTTATACATAATAGAATAACCGAAAAATTGGTATGATACAAATTTTATAAAATAATTGGCCGAACCAAACCATTGACACCCCTACCTATGTGTATTTCATATTATATTAAAAGGCTGATTATAAATATCACTTATTTATCCTTAATTCTTTATGTGTAAAATGGGATTGAGGCATCGAGACTCAATGAAATAGAAAACATTGGTTATGGATCGATTCGCGTTTGATAACTTAAAGAACTAGAGATTTCAAAAACAAATAATAACAATAAAAAGAACGATAATGAGGTATATGATTACGCTATTTAATAATGTATTTTTTTAAATCGTAATAATAAAAAATTAACCAGACACATATTTAGTACTACTATCTATACCATAAACTCTAAAAAACTATCAATTTTAAAGAACAAATACTTGTTTTTGACAATTTATGTTGACAAAATTTGATGTAAATCGCCAAATGTATTATAACTAAATTTGACAAAAAAGAAATGTTTAAGATGTTTTGGAAGCAAAATATGATTGAAAGTAAATTAAAATAAACAATACTTTAAAGTTTGGATATACTCAACAATTAGGACCATTTCTCAAAAAAAAAAAAAAAAAAAAAAAAAAAAAAAAAAAAAAAATCTCATATAATTGAAGTGGAAATAGAATGCATCATAACCACCTACATTTGCACAATGTCATTATTCAAGTATTAATAAAAAAATGATATTGCTTTTACAAAATTTTGAAGTCAAACTTATTAAATAATTATTCCAAATTATCTTTTGATGCATTTTCTCGTCGAACTGTCATTTTCAGGATTACTTTGCTTTTTTGCTTGCATTACCAATTATTTTAATTACAAGTTAGCTTAATATCTTAATTATTTAAATCAAGGGAAATAGTTAATATATCTACTTTTGGCCGAAAAATTAAAAAATAGCCAGATTTACAAGTGCTCATTCAAAAATAACCACAATTTCAAAAGTAATCGAAATTTAGCCACTTTTTATGTAAAGATAAATCTGAACGAAAACACTGTTCAAAATCCGGAAAAATACTCCAGCATAATATACTGGAGTTCCAGTATAATATACCGGTTCAACATAATATACTGGAGTTTGGAGCACCGGTGCTCCAGTCTCCAGTATATTATACTAGAGCCAGCAAAGTATACCGATCCAGCATAATATGCTGGAAGTTCATACATAGGTGCATGAACTCCAGTATATTATGCTGGACCGATCTCTGAAAAATAATGACTATTTTTCATTGACTTGGCAAACGCTGGTTATTTTTGAATGACCGGTCCGAAAATTGGCTAGACCGTGCTATTTTAACCCCAAAAAGTTATAGTCCCAGTGAGAGGAAAAATTGAAAAAAAATGCTAAGTGAGCAAATTACCCCATCAAAAATCAAAAAAGAAAAAAAAAAAAAGCACCACATTATAAATTTCTTTGTTTTTTTCCTTTTTTTTTGCACCATTTTAGTACCACTTTTTACTATATTTTGCAAATAATAATTGGACAAAAATTCACTCTTTCTCGGCCGCACCACCCCTTTCCCGCCTTCCTCCTCCTCCCGCCGCCACTTCTGCCGTTCACCTCCGCTTCCCCCCGCCTTCTGCTACCTCACGAATGGAAGCTCAAAAATTGTCTTTTGGACTTTCCTCCACTTTATCCACTTCACCAATTCAAAACAGAAAAAATCCAATCTTTAAGATACCATCTTTTTCTTATACTTCACCAAATAATCTTACCCTTAAAGGGTTTTTCTTAAAACCCCATTTTTCTTTTTCTCCTAAAGTTTTGCCTTTGCCCACCAAGAAAATTTTCCAGTGTACAAATTGTTTGCAAGGAATAGAAAAAGAATTTGTTACAATTCCTAATAATTGTGTGAGCAAAGAACTTAAAAAGAAGAAGCTGGCAGTTTTTGTATCAGGTGGAGGTTCAAATTTCAGGTCAATTTATGAAGCAACTATTGAGGGTACAGTTCATGGAGAAGTAGCTGTTCTTGTTACCAATAAACTTGGTAAGGTTTTTGGAAAATTATTATTTTTCAGTTTATTTCAAGATTTAATTTTTAGTTGGTTTTTAGTCCCTGCTTATTTGAGATTTTGGTAAAGCTTTAAGCTTTAATAGATTATTTAGGTCTATATAGGTGATACATATTAGCTGAGGTTATGTTTTAGACAGTTAACACTTCTGATATTTTTTACCTATATTTGCATAATATTAGCATGAGATGAGTTTAACTAGAGTAACATTTCAGTGAGGATTCATATAGCCAACCCCAACTTATTTCGGACTAACGTGTAATTTTTATTGTTCTTGTTGTTGTTGTAATTCAAGATTATCTGTAGTTGGCTTTGGTCCCTGCCTATTCGAGATTTTTTAAAGCTCCAAGCCTTAACAAATTGTGTAGGTCTATATAGGCGATACATATTAGTTGAGATTATGTTTTAGACGTTAGTGCTGTTACTGTAGGTCATATGCTTTATAGTAGCGATTTAGCCTTTCAGAGATTTATACTTCCGAATATATAGAGAACTTCTAATATTTTTTTACTTATATTTGCATAATTAGCATGAGATGAGTTTAAATGGAGTAACATGGTCAGAAAGGATCCATATAGCTGGACTCCAACTTGTTTGGGACTAAGGCGGCGTAGTAGTAGTTGTTGTTATTGTTGCAATTCAAGATTATTTGTAGTTGATTTTTGCGTCCTGCCTATTTGAGATTTTAGTAAAGCTCTGCCCTTTAGTGAAAACTTGTAAATTCAGTGTATTTGTAGCAACCGTCTTGATTAATTTGCCAAAGAATGAAATTTTATTTTAAGTTTTTACGTCAGCCTTTATCTGTATTCCTTCTTTTGTTTCTTTCTTCCTGATATTTTATTATTCTGTGACTTCATGAATGTGTTCTGCTGTGTTGAAAGTTGAAATCAGTGGCAACCAAACTTTTTTTTTTTTGGCGCTCATGTTGAGAAGTTTCTTGATACAATATCAGCTTGATAAATTTTTGGTGGAATCACTTGAAAAGTTCAGAAATTTCTGTTTCAACTAAAGTAGTTTCTCTTATGCTATTATTTTTGCTTGTAGCACAGATAACTTTGTGAATATATGGATTGGTGGAATTATACTCATGATTTTCAAGTGTTTTTCTATCCTTTGAAGGATTACTCAGTGAAGCTTTTGAAATGTCTAAAAGTCACATTTAGCCCAGTTTATACCCGAAGATATGCCTATTCAATTGTCTTCTCCTAGTTGTCACTCTTTTTTTTATATATATTTTTTGTACTGAAATGCAGATTGTGGAGGTGCAAAGTATGCAAGGGAGCAAGGCATCCCTGTTATTTTGTTTCCTAAAGCAAAGGATACATCTGAGGGTTTGTCGGAGGAGGATCTCGTGGGTGCTCTAAGGTTTTGTTCTTGTCTATCCACAACTCCTCTATTGACCTGACCACATGAGCGGTTGTGTATTTTGTGCAAAAAAGATTTTGTCTTCCCTGAAATTATGTCGTGCCGCAATCAGTTCCTCTTTTTCTGGTGTTTTTCTTTTCTTTTCTTTTTGACTAATTAGCAGGAGAAAGGTGGTATCTGAATAGAAGGAAATATACTTGTACTGCTACTGATTGCTGAGGATATTTGCTTTTGAGATATAATGAAGATTCTATATACAAAAGATAGATGAGGTTTAAGATATGGTAGTTCTTTGTGATCGATATGGCGATGCTTTTGGTTTTCTTAAGCTGGACATCTGCCAAATATTTCTGTTTTTCTCTCAGCTGCATTTATTTTTGTCACCTTCTTTCACTGTTGTTCTTCTGCTCACCTGCAAACTATTGTAAAATTTTCACCTATTTGGACACTACTTCTGGTTATTTGAAACTTTAGAGTTGTTCTGTTAAGCGCTTCTCTTTTTGCTCACCTTTCTTTATTTTTGGTCATCCTTTTCGTTTTGCCCTTGCTTTCTTCTACTTGGAGCAAGAAGACGATCACGGAAAAAACGGGAAATGAAATGTGAACAAAAACAAGTAAATCATGATAACGTCTATATTGCTTGCTATTATGCTGTGTTCTCTGTGTATGGATACTTTTCGCACTTGTTAGTCATCTGAATGACGCTAGATAAATCATCTAAAAGGGGATTGGTTGGTTATCTAGTGTATGAGTATGACATGAATTATCTAGTGACTTTGCTCTCAGAAGTTATGTGCTTTAGCTTTTTGTACTGGTAATACCCTGTCCGTGCCCCGTTAAGTTGATGTCTTTGTTTTCTCCCTTGCTTTACTGAAGTTATTACATCATATTCTTCCCAGATATCTTATAGTAACATTTGTTTACAGAACCTACAATATCGACTTCATTCTTTTAGCCGGGTACTTAAAGCTTATCCCTACTGAGTTGGTCCAAGCATTTCCAAGATCAATATTTAATATTCATCCGTCACTTCTTCCAGCTTTTGGAGGCAAAGGCTACTATGGCATGAAGGTGCATAAAGCAGTCATTGCTTCTGGAGCTAGGTATGTAAAATAAAAATGAATTTTTTTGGTTAATCAAGTATCATGTATCTTCTTTGCCTTTAATTTTTCAGTTGTTAACTTCAAACTAAAAAAAATACTTTGCCATGATAAGTAAAAAAGTAAAGAAAAACTGTCATGTGTACTGAAAATGGTCTGTTTCAGGCGCCATTTGCTATACTTTGTCTTTAAAGTATCATGTGTTTGAGATTCTTTACTAGGCCTGGAAGGCCTAATAATCCAACGTTTTTAAAAGTAAAAGGCACAAAATAGCTATGAGGTCTGTAGGGTTTGAAGTGAAAAACAAGGAGTGAAAGTGCAGAATTTATGACAAATTTTAAAATATCATATGTGTACGAATTTAGTACTACAGTAACCTCTTAAAATATTTCAAAAACAAAATAAAAATAAAAATTGTACTATACTAATCAAATTCCTTTCAAATTACTAATTTCCCTATCCAATAGCACAATACCGTTGTTAATCCAACTCCTCAAAGTTGAGACTCAAAGAATCTGCCATTTCTCATTGGTATCACTTTGTGCATCAATGTTTGAAGCGCACACTTTTCTGAAGCACATATCGTCAGCCATGAAGCGATGCGCCTTCACTTCACATCACTTCATTGCTTTAAGCAAAGAAGCAATGGCTTTTAAGAACACTAATAGTCCTTCAGAACCTGTTTCATTTTTGCCTTATAAAAAAGTTATTTATTTTGATATTTTCCTTTATCTTCTTTTCTTTTAGTGGTGGTGGGTGGTGGTGGCAGGCGAGTGGGAGAGAGATTATTAATCTGTGCAATGTTTTAGGACACATGCAATGATGAGGAATATAGCTTACAGTAAATCTGACCCATATGGAACTTTTTCTATTCTAAAGACAAAGAGGTTGGATTGAGGGAAATTTTTAGTTTAATAAGCTTGAGCATTCAGTAACAGCCAATGATTTATTATTTCTTTTTGCCAAAATATCTGGGTTTATAAGCCAGTATGTTAATTTCCTTGTCATTGCTTCCAACGATTCTACATCTCGTTATGGGTTCCCTGAAAGAATGCTTAAACTCCTAGTACTTTGTTCTGTTTCTGTTGCATTTTTTGGGGTAATGGTCACCTGTAAACTTATTTAACTCTTTAGCTTGGTTTGAATTTTGGCTGGAAACTGACGGCCAACAAGAAGTTTCCCTGCTTCTATGCCCCGTAGAAAGTTGTATTAAGTCATTTTCCTGTTAGTTACTAGAGTCATTTAATGGGGTTCTCTAAATTGAGACTTCTAATCAATCGATCTGCAACAGCTATTTTTCTGATCTGAACAGTGCATCAGCTGTACCATATTTGAAAGCGTGTCTGTATATAGTTGGACTTATTATGTCCATGATGATGCCGAGTTGTTAGCAAAGGCAGGTCCAGAAATGGATTAGCAAAGGCAGTTTACTTTAGACATCCACACACAGGGGCGGAGCTAGCCCTTCGTGTACGGCTTCGGCTGAACCCAGTAGCTTTGGTCCAAACTCTGTATTTGTCTTATGAAATCCATTGAATATGTACAACTTATTTATTTAGAATTCAGTAACTTAAAAGAACTAGAATCCCGAACCCATATACTTCAAGCTCTGCCTCTGCCACATAGATATATTTTAACAATTTTCAGCTATACGTTTATAGTGGAAGTCGAAAGCAGCCACATCAATGCTTATAATGTGGATCCCCCTTAGTTGCTTACTCCAACTTCAGCGTACTATGCTATCCAAGTCAATCATATAAGAGACTAAAAAAAGTAGATGTCAGAAGCTGGTTTTTCGTATTTTTCCCCTTCAATCAATTAAATATATGCCCGGAAAGTGAACTCCTGAAATCCAATAAAGTCAATCCAAGTTCGAACACACTTTAGTTTTCGTCCATAATTCAAATAAGTGCATATGATATGACTAGCTCTTTCTTGTAATCCCTGCATAAAGGGAATGCGCTAATGAGATATATTTGTATTCACTCTTCAGAAACACATGTTTGTAAGAACTGCTGATGGAAGATATCCGCTCCTTCACAAGTCTATAGAGGGCATGAATTTTCCTGTCCAAATATCGCAAAACATGCAATTTTAGCTCTTCTTTTGCAGGAGGCAAAACCAAAGCACATTAGCTTGTAGCTGAACAAGAAATAGTACCACCATTCAGCTTGTAAATTGTAAATTGAGTGCTTAGTTGAAGAGCTAATACTCTCTGTCACTTGTGTTTTCTCTATAAGTTAAATACCAACAATCACTTAACCCATTGCTTTTGGATTTGAATTTTCTATTTCTGTTTCTATTAAATTTAAATGCATGTGAAATGTGATCTGGGAACATATCTAAGATCTTATCGGACAATGTAGCATCTTTTTGTTGAAATATTGAGGATTCACATTCTCCAAGCAAATAATTTCTATTGCTAGTTTTTACCATGCAGATTTAGACCCCTAGTTTGAGTTGAGAGCCCTTACTCCATTATCTTGGAATTTCCGGTGAATTGTGATGATCTGTTAAAGACAATTCCTATCATGATTGACCAGAATTGGTCATTAATTGTTTACTTTATTGTTTCATGTTGATATTGTTGCTTGTGACCTAGTTGCTACATATTTCAGTTTATGTCCTCCACCCTTTACAGCATTAAGCACCTAACTTTGATTTCGGTACCTGCTTTGAGACGGGTTTAGTTTTCTCTGTCTTTAATGCTTTGGATCCTCATTTTAGCTCCTACACATGTGTCTACGGGTTTCAAGTTCTGAGCATAAGCAACTCATTTTTTTTTCTATCTGCTCTTTTCCAAACTGTAGGTATTCTGGTCCAACAATCCATTATGTTGATGAGCATTATGACACCGGGCGTATTCTTGCTCAACGGGTGGTGCCTGTGCTTGCTAACGACACAGCAGATACACTTGCAGCAAGGGTTCTTCAGGAGGTCATGAATTTCTTTTACGCATTTCTTGTTATGATTAATATAATTGTTGTCACAATCAAGTTGAACATTTCATGTTGCACTTAAAAATAACCTATCAGTCATAGTTCTCAATCTTTTATTTTCTTTCCCCTTCTTTCTGGATCCTACCTTATGTTCCACGCCGAGTTCCTATATTAATAGGAGACTGCTCCGTTCCTTATGGATTTCTTCATGTGCGCCTTTTCAGTGTTTTAATGCAAGTATATCCATTATTTTGTCAATCCATTTATCCATTAAACAAACGATTAGCAATTTTTTTTTTTTTTAAATCAACATGTATGGTCTTAGATCATGAATAATAACCATTATCTTCCCTTTTTTTCAATATTGCTACTACTTGCACTTTGTGGCTTGCTTTTCTGCTTACTTATTTGGCATGCATTAATAATCACTTTTGTTCCATAGCTTGTCCATTTCCTTCTTTTCCGTGCAACATTTTGTACTAACACACAGAGGCAGATCCAGTATTTAACTCTTATGGGTTCAATATTTAAGGTTCTTAGTACTGAACTCATTATATCCTTAAAGTTATGGATTCATATTTATAATTTATTGCGATTATAGTAATTTTTACACATAAATTTATACTCCGCATCGAAAGTTATGGGTTCAAATTGAACCAGTGATATAGAGCTACATACGCCCCTGCTAACACACTTCCTTAGCAGGAGCATAAACTATACGTGGAAGTAGCGGCAGCATTATGTGAAGAGAGAATAGTGTGGCGCCAAGATGGCGTCCCTCTTATCCAGAGCAAAGAAGATCCCAATCACTACAAGTAGCAAAATGGCAAATCAACAAAGCCTAAAAGTCAGTAATTCTGCATGTGGAGTTGCAGAAATTTTGCCTTGATGCTAACATAATTTTGGTATGGATGCCTAATGGAAGGTCTACCAATTTCCTTAATTGCTCAACTGACCAGTTTACCTTAGAAATTTTACTTGTTTATGATACAGATGAATATTTTACTCCTATAACTTTTGTATCAGTATTTTTGTTAATCTTTTTTATGTTTTCACTTATTTAAGAAATAGCTTGCTGTTGCTCCACATTGCTGGATATTATATATTTGAGTTGTAACCTTGAACCGAGAGGTTGTGAGTTCGAGTCTCTCCAAGAGCAAGGTGGGAAGTTCTTGGAGAGAAGGATGTTGGGGGTCTATTTGGAAACAGTCTCTCTACCCTAGGGTAGGGGTAAGGTCTGCGTACACACTACCCTCCCCAGACCCCACTAAGTGGGATTATACTGGGTTGTTGTTGTTGTTGTTGTTGTAGTTGTAACCTTGAACTTTATGAAGATATCATATTGTGAAGCGTACAAGTGGAATTCTATATTTCTCATATTATTGAAGCTATTCTCGGGGATGTATCATAAAAACTTATCCGCACTTGATATTTACATTAATTCGAGATATCTGTCTCACATGCATGCATTTATTACTTAGCCGTGATTAAGTGATATGTAATTTATGTAATTGTTAAAGTTAAGTTGCTTGGTTTAGTGTGACAATTGCTCCTGACACTGCCATTTAGGTAGTTTATTACTCCCAAATTTTAATTTTCTAGTTAATGGCGCCATTTGAGTAGTCAAGAAACTAAAAAGAGAATTGTTCAAATATGAAAAAGGAAAGCTGTTCGTTCCTTGAGGTTTTCTGCCTAGTACTTGGACGCTCTTCGCTTGCTCAATAAGCTAGTGAATATAAAACAATAACGATCCAGTAAAATTCCACAAAGTGGGGTCTAGAGAAGGTAGTGTGCACGTAGAACTTATCCCTACCCGATAGGGTAGAGAGGCTGTTTCCGATAGACCTTCGGCTCAGGAAGATGAAAATAAAACAAGAAGAGATAATTCATCAATATCGTCAACATAAACCATAGAAATAGTGACAGCATCCTCAAAACCATAAAATAGATGACATGCAATAACAATAACCAGCAAATAAGGAACGGAACTATGAAAAACAATAAGGGTAGTGTGGACTCTACATTAACCACAAGTCGTCTACGATTAACCTTATCAAACTCGCTTCACCCCCGGTATGAAAAAGGAGAAGCTCGATTATCCCCTAGCCTACAACCCTAATGCTCGACCTCCAGGCCTTCCTATCAAGGGTCATGTCCTCAGAAATCTACAATCGTGCCATGTCCTACCTGATCATCTCTCTCCAATACTTCTTAGGCCGTTCTCTACCTCTTCTAGTACCCTCCAAAGCCAACCGTTCACATCTCCTCACCGGAGCATCCGGGCTTCTCCTCCGCACGTATCCAAACCATCTGAGTCTCGCTTCCCGTATCTTGTCATCTACAGGGGCCGAGATGTGGTGATTGTTTTAGTCCTAAGTAAATTGGAGGGATTGTTTGGTACGCATACTTTCATGTATTTTGAACTTAAAAGGTGAAAAATTAAGGATACTTTCATGATTTGAACTTAAAAAAAAGGTGAAATACTATGCCACTATCTTGGATTTCATCCAGCATAACTAACTATTTTTCAATGACTTCTAAATTTGTGGCTATCTTTAGTTACAAGTCCAGAAATAACTATTTTTGAATTTTACCCGCTTTTGAAGGATTGAAATGAATTGCACAAAATACAAAATTGCCCAGTTGTCTGAAACTAATTGTATTTGCTAATCAAAAAATCTAAAAATGTGTTTTTTTATATATAATACTCATATTTACAACAAATACACATTTTTGTCGTCTATTAGTATTGGGCGCGGCTAAAATTTCTCAAATGATTGTCAACTTATTAGCAAATCGTAGAAGAAAAATTAATCTAAATAGCAGTTCACCTAATCTCTTAAACTAAAAATAGCTGACGAATATCTAATATATGTATAATTCATATAAAATATATGAATAACCGTGTATAATTAACGTATAATCTATGTATACCACTTAAAAAAATAAATATTGAATTTGACGGGCTATTTGTGTAATAATCCCATCGTAGAATGAGTAATCATCTAGCCCAGCCCACATAAGAAGTTGGGCTTTTAGTCCATATCGCCCCAAACAAAAGGCCCATATCTCACTCTCTCTCACACAAACCCTCACTGCTCCATATATAAATCCACCTTATTAGGTTTAGGGTTTTATTGAATCAGTATACTGCAAAGCAAAGGACAGCTTCAACTTTCAGCAATGGCCGCAAAGAAGAGTCCCCGTAATCCAGAGCTGATTCGTGGAGTGGGAAAACTTTCCCGTTCCAAGATGTACCACAAAAAGGGTCTATGGGCAATCAAGAAGAAAAACGGCGGCTCTTTTCCCGTACACAAAAAAGCCGCCGCCGTCGCACCACCGGCCGTCAAACCACCCAAATTTTACCCAGCCGATGACGTGGCAAAACCCCTTGTCAACAAACACAAACCAAAACCCACGAAACTTAGAGCAAGTATCACACCCGGTACTGTTTTAATTATCCTTGCCGGTAGGTTTAAGGGTAAGAGAGTTGTGTTTTTGAAACAGCTTAAATCTGGGCTTTTACTTGTTAGTGGACCATTTAAGCTTAATGGTGTTCCTTTGAGGCGTGTGAATCAAGCTTATGTTATTGGTACTTCAACTAAAGTGGATATTTCTGGTGTGAATGTTGAGAAGATTGACGATAAGTATTTTGCTAAGCAAGCTGAGAAGAAACAGAAGAAGGGTGAAGGAGAGTTCTTTGAAGACAAGAAAGAGGTTTGTTTGCATTTTTAAGCTTAAAGTTTTAATCTTTTTTGCTCATTTTCTGCTTAATGTGTGATCTGTTTGTTCATTATGTGATTAAGGAATGGATCATTATGTTCAGTATATGCCTATGAAATGGATCTTTATGCTCATTTTATAATTATAGTTTGAATCTATTTGCTCATTGTACTTCAATTTATGGATTTTTTCATTTAAATTTTTGATGATTGAATCTATTTGCTTATATTATACTTATAGAGTGGACTTTATGCTCATGTTATGCTTAAGGATTGGGTCTCATTGTTCATTTTATGCCTAAAGATTGGATCTTTTTGTTCATTGCATTATTTAATAGAGTCATGTTTTTGGTTTTAGTATTTGTCCTTTCTGTACTTAAAGATTGAATCTATTTGTTCCTCTTATGCTTAAGGAATGAATCTTTATGTTTATATGCCTAAAGATGGGATCTTTTTTGTTCATTGTTTGATTAAAGATTGATCACTGTTTTTGATGAGTTTTTTTTCCATCTGTTTTGTGTGTGTCGGTGTATTGTAGGAGAAGAAGAATGTGCTTCCCCAGGGAAAGAAAGATGACCAGAAAGCTGTGGATGAAGCATTGATCAAGGCCGTTGAATGTGTTCCTGAATTGAAGGCTTATTTGTCTGCTAGGTTCTCCCTCAAGTCGTGCATGAAACCCCATGAGCTTGTCTTTTAGGCTGTGCGATGTTTAAAATACTCTTTATGAAATTGATTTTGTTAGATTTATTTTGGTTTATGTTCTGTTTTGGACCTGCTTTTAGTCGTTGTATTGAAGATTTTGTTGGCTATAAACATCTTAAGTTGGCATATCCAATGTGAGATTTGCTCTTCTCTTATCCTAATATTGTGTTATAGAAGTCAATTCTTGAGCTCAATTGATTAGGGTGAACTGACTAGTCTTGAATTGATATTAGTGCCTGATGTTATCCTTGTTATTGTGTTATATAAAGATTAATGCCCGAGCTTAGTGGGTTAATTTTGAAAAGCTACATGTACCAAGAGAAGGGTGAAATTCAGTACCTTTGATCTTGACTGCCAAGGTGGCTGTAGCAATATGAAAGATTTTATTTGAGGAGTTTACTGGCCGGTTGTTGTTCTTTGTCAGCATATCTGCTTACCGAACTTCTTACATTTTTTACATAATTGTCGTGAATCATTTTCCTAAGCCAGAGTTCTATCAGAAACAACTTCTCTTCTCTGCCTTCTTGAAGGTAGGGTAAGTCTCAGTACACACTTCCTTTCCCACACCCCACTTGTGGTATTACGTTGGGTTTGTTGTTATTGTTGTTGTGAATGATTTCTTCTATGTCTGTTGTATTGTATGTGCATATTACTCTGCTAGATGAGAAGGGGAGAAGAAGGAAATGCATAGAATTTAGCATTTCTAGAGACCCTTCTCTAAAATCAATCATCTATATGCACTTTCCAGGCTCACTGCTTTGGTTCCTGGCAGTTTGCGTCTATAGGTGCTTACATTGCAAATACATTACAGCTTTTCGCCTTTCAGTGCTGAATATGCATTCGATGGTATTACTGGTGTATTCATAAGATTACAAAGATTAGTCCTATCTTGAATCTTAGATAATCTTCAAGTCTTATCTTGAAACTCTGATAGGTTATCTATAGTTGAATGAGTTAAGTATACTATAGCCCTTGCATCAAAATAGTGTCCGTACTATCTGGACTTTACATTACAACAAACCCACTGCACAAATGTGGTTTGGGAAGGGTTGAATGTAACGTTACCCCTACCTTCAAGAAGCGTTTTTTTCAAAAGTAATTTTCAAAAGAGTACTTTTGGTGAGAATCGATTTGTGTTTGACTAATTAATTTGAAAAGTACTTTAGAGCAGTAATTAGTGTTTGGCCAAGCTGAAATTGCTTTTAAGTGTTTTTTTCTCAAAGTGCTTCTCAAAAAAGTGCTTTTGGCGAGGAGTTGTCTCTCAAAAACTGCTTCGGCTTCTCGAAAGCACCTTTTATCCTTCTAAAAAGTTTGGCCAAACCCCTTAATTTTTGGCGAAAAAACACTTTTGGCAAAAAGAAAAGCTTGGCAAAAAAAAAGCTTGGCAGGCTATAAAGTTTGCTATGTTATGATAAAAATCAAAATATGGTGGATGTCTACTCTTCCTCCATGATCTTTCTCTCAAATGGTTAATGACATATTCAATGACATATTTTCTTCATTTTTCATGCCTATATAAAGGCCTTGTAATAGATAGAAAAATACACACAATTGAAGAAGAAAATCTCTTGTTTTTCTCTATCTCTATTTCTTGTTCATGTTTTACTAAATTGCTTTTATTTTTTGTTCATGTTTTACTAAATTGCTTTTATTCCATAACAC